ACTACTTCACATAGACAGAAACTGCAAACAAAGTACTATGCTCATTTGAGGCTAAATAGGGAAACGTGGGATATTAAAATTCAGTTATGATGCAGTACGGCCAAAAAAAAGGACCAATTCATACTTTTGCTAAAGGAGCAGACGAGTTAATAGCCAACAATTACATTTTTACTTGTCATTCCATGACAATACTTTCAGCAGCTCAGAATGGACCTTAACCAGCACTCCACCCATGCAGAAGGACAGACAAAAATAAACACTATCTGGAAATGGATTTTTGTTGTATTGTTTTTTTAAACTATCATGATGTTAAGGGATGAACTAGGTTAGAGCCTCCTGACAATGAAGTGAAGGGTATTTGAGCTTAGCTAAACAAATTTTTATTGTTTGTAGTACATAAAATCGCTCTGTTATCAAATGCAAAAGCGAATTACATACCCAGAACTGAAACAGAACTGTGATGCCTAGAAGATTTACCTGTAAATATCAAATATTTATTTCTAAAAAGATTGAATATTTTTTAAGAGCAAGCACACTACATTCTAGCTGCTTTTCTTAGAGAGAATATGGCAAATGTGCTTTGACCTGCACCTCTGAAAAGAGATCACAAAAATACTGAGACCTCAGACTGATCATATGTGATTTTCTTTCACAGCATTCTTTTAGGTAACCAGAGCTCTGTAAACCATTTTTTTTTTTTCAGGAAAAAAAAAAAAAAAAAGGCTAAAATAGCCATAATGGCATTAACAAGCACATAATTTTAGATATATTTAAAGTCCTTTTTTTTTTCTGGGCGTCTGATGCCTCACAGAAGGCTGAAAAATATCCATTAGAAAAAGAACCACAAAAAAACCTCATTCTGTATGTTCTTCATATTCTACTTGTTTTTCATTAAAGAGATGCATGCATAGAATTAAGGTATTTGATGATTAAGAATCCATCTGTTCCTACTTAATTCTCACCTGAAGTCATAATCCTTTGTTTGTGACCTCAGTCATTTTCAACACACACAACTGTGACTGCCTTTAAAACAGGCATTTTTAAAGCCATATAAACACATTATTTTCAATGTAAGCCACAATCCAAGAAGACAAACAAAAGACCATCTAAAATACAGTATTCTCTTTTAGAGCTTGAAAAGTAACCAGGTGGCTGGTGTCAAGAGGAGAAGGTGGTATACACCTCCATGGTGGTTATAACATGAAATGTAGGAAGCGGTCATGTAATGCAGACTCTTGTGGGATGCTGTCAGCAGTTACCATATTAAAACAGTATCAAAATAAGCATCCTTGTGAAACCCTCCTATTGCTTCTTCTAAGAGACCCCTAAAAGATTCTTCCCCGTTGCTTTCCCTTCCTAATGCTGAAATACTAGTATTCAACTGAGTTACATGGGCTAATTCAACTTGCTTTAACCCACTTCCTCTCACTGGTCCTCTCCACTCTAGGAACATGATACCAGTACACCAGTTTATCCCTCTTTTCCAGAGTCCCTGTTCGCATTGTCAGGAAGGTACTGTCTCACCTTCTGCAACAGGCTCACAGGCCTTTCAAGCCACATCCCATATTTCTATGGTTATTGCCCTTCTCTTCTTCTCCTGTTTACGCACGCCTGCTGCCGCAGTCTTGGCATTCTCCATTCCACAAATATCACCGGAAAAAAAATGTCCTTGCTACACAGAGCTCCCTTCCTTTTACCATATATATATATATGTGGAAAAATATATACATTTTCCATATATATATATGGAAAAAATATATATTCCATATATAGAAAAAAATACCTCCATCTTTTCTGTAAAACTCACATCTTCCAGTCCCTACCTAGGAAGACGCAATACTTCAAAACTGACATCTCCAAGCAAAGAAGCGGGAATGCCACATCTACGTCACTCACGCTCACGTTGCTTTCTTGCCAAATGTCTGCATTTCTTCAAGTGCCTGCCAAAGACCAACCTCTCGTTTTCTTCTACTGCTTCTCTTTTCCTACCTAGTCTTTTAGTGCTGCTTTTCTTGCGCCTTTCTTTCTACCACATACTGTTCTCCTCTGCTGTTTTCCACAGCTGTCATGCTGTTTCCCAACAGTATATGCTAATATACTAAAAAGTCTCCTCTCCTCTAAATCACTGTTATAATTTGTGCCAGAGGTCTTGCCTATCTTATTTTACCAGTTCCAATCTCCCACATTAATTAACTGTTGCCCATATGTTCATTAGAAATTTCAGAAAATTTTTTGAAATTATAAATCTCAAAATCACCTGTTATAATCCATTCGGGATTGGTGTAGTTGCTGTTGTTTTAGCAGCAGCTTTGCTTCTTGCTTAGCCAACAAATGTTGGAGTCGTTCCTTTTCAATTTCCAGCTCCATTTTCTGCAGAAGCAGCTTCTGCCTTCTTTCTTCATACAACCTTTTAGCCTGCTCTGTTTCCTTAGGCCCGGAGTCCACACTGTCATTCAGCCTGGAAATTCGAGCGTGCCCAGAACAATCACAAGTTTTATGAACTGGCCCGGAGTGTCTTCTAAGCACCTGGCTGACATGGTGGCTCCCTCGCACGCTCCCTGAGCTCCCTGCATGCCTGCAGGCACAACCGTGACTCGCTTGCTGAGGGCATGCGCTCTGAAATTCATTTGCTTTCTGATCCATCTCCTGAGCTGGTTTTACACGGTGAGGGCTCCTCTGCTTGGCTGGGGAAATCATATTATTACACTTTCTGTGCAAGCCATTTTCTACCGGATGTTCCTTCAGACACTCCTGATGGTTGTAATGGATTTCAGTCCCGTAATTGTCATTATTCCTGCAAGGCTGAGACAATGCAACACGGGCTGGGCTTCCAGCCTTTGATGCTCTACTGTTCTTATAAAAAGTCTGAGGTCCCCCAGTACCCAAGTAGGAACCATCTAGCTCCAGAGATGGTTGTTGGTATGAGCTCTTCTTACTGGATACCTGGAAGAACACAAACAATTTCCTGTGAATTACCAAAATTTATCTTTGCTCATTAATTTCACTTGGTAAACATGTTCTCTCAGAAATAGACTTGCTGCATCATGCTGATAGACATACAGCCAAAACCGAGAAAATGTTTATCAGAAGACAGACACGAATCTGCTATCAAATCTACATTTCATTCCATCTACAAAGTATAATAAATGTAAAACCACTGCCTGCAAGATCCTCAGCATAAAATGAGTCGCTTCGGAGTATCAAGTAGTTGTGAGCATCTAGGGTTACATAAAATCAACTTGAAGAGTGGCAAAAAACATTAAATGTTAATGTTTGAAAATGTTTAATTTTGAATACCGAGCCAAAAAATCCATTCAACCACTATAAATACTCTTTGATTGGCCATTACACAGCAGGAGATTTGATGTAAAACATTTCACCTTGCACTGAATGGGATATTACTTACCGCTGGAAATTTGATGAGAGTTTTTGAAATATCTTTACAGAAACACAGATAAAAACCAACTACTTTCTGTAAAAAACGGTTGTATATCAAAAGCTGTCATTTAAATACAAAACATGTTTAAATTCGGCTATAAACGTAAGTGATTTTTCAATTAAGCTGGGCAAGTGATTATACTCTGATAAAACTCTGAAGAAAGAAAGCAACTGTAATTCACATTTGTCAACCCAGTGCAAGCAAATTCTCGTGGTTTTGTTATACTCGTGGATGTTACGTAACAGACATCAAAATCCTGCTTACATCTTGGAGTATCTTTGCACTATGGTTCACCCAGGCAGTTAAGCATTTGAGCTTCTATGCACATCAGAACAGCAGAGAATCAGGCACTTGCGTTTCTTTTGCTAGACCTGCATTAATTTCAATAGCATATTGAATTTAAACTCCTCCAGCCTTTGAGACCTTTCACAAAGGTCTGATTTTTTTAATTACAGAAGCAAGGTTTGTGGAAGTTAACAAAACCATTGCAGTGAAAGTGGTTTAGCAGGAAAATTTGGTATCCACTGATGGAAATAAAAGTATTGTTTGCGCTCTGGCAATGCTTACAATATGTAGGTATTGTCCACACTGAGTGGAAGACAGTCAGCAAGTCCCAAAACACTAAAACTTAGGAATGCAAGCAAGCGTCCAGCAATGATTAGAAGAGAGATATAACCCAAATCTATGCAGTGTTTATATGTATAATTCAAATTCTTTTTATAAATAAACAAAATACCAAATATACTCTGCTGCCCTTCAAGACAACCAATTACAAGTTTCTTGTAGACTTCACAGAATGCAAATTCACGTGGATTAGCACCTGAATACTGATATTTTATGATTTTCAGTTTTGCAGATACAAATATATCCTCTCTGCCATGTGATTGAAAGCCAAGGATGTAATGTTTTGCCCCAAAGGGCCCAGTGAGTTGGAGGCATTTGCATTAATGTCAGTGCTAAATGTCTGAGGAAATTCTGGTGCTTGGACTGGGTGAAAAGTGCAGGACATTAAAATATTGTAAAGTCAGAGGGGCTGGCAGGGCAGCTGAGCAGAAACGCAACATGCTGCCAAAAAGATGGAGTTTTGTTATTTATTATTTGTAGCGTGCCATCCTTGTCTGCAATATTTTCTAGACAAATAAAGGCTACAAAGTCCTTTTAATCTAAATTCGACGATACATAAAGGGATGACCAGCAACCGGAAGAAATATTACAGAAAAGGGAAAGTAAGAAAATCCTGTGCTTACACACTGTCTCTCGTTTCCCACCTCACCTGGTTCTGCTAATAAAGCATTTAGGGCACCAACAGAAAGAGACTTTCAAAGTGGCTACTTTCCCAGCTCCCCAGGACAGCAGAAGGCGGCAGACCTGAAGGTGATATTAGAGGATCCTACCAGAGCTGGCAGCGCAGGGTAGTCTACAGAAAGCATACACCTACCCTTCTACAGCGCACAAACAGAAGTAAAAAGGAACGAAAAAAGAAGACTCAAAAGACGAAATAACTGAGAACTTTATTTTAGCAGTTTGTTTTATTGACGGAAGAGACAAGAGAATGTTAAGGAATCCAAGCACACAAATGAAGATGGTACAAAATAATCATCAGTAGCAGCTTTAAGAAGAAAGGCCCACATGGCAAATTAACTTTATGGCCGAGACTCTATTAAGAGTCCCTGAAGGCCCTAAAAGAGAGGTACCAGTTAGCATTTGTTGACCTTGGCCACCATTAAATCTGCCCTGATGGTCTCAGAAATGGCATTGACATTTAAAGACTTCATAACAAGGCAGAGAAACTTTAATGTTATTTCACAGTTACAATATGTTTGCAGGGGGGAAAATTCTCATTAATGTCATTGAATGCGAGTGGGGTTTTTTTATTCCTTTAGAAGAAGGAGGTCATGTTACACAGAGTACTGAGTTCCAACATGCCTTTGACGGCTACTCAGGACTTTGCAGGCTCTAACTCTAAAGAAAAATTAACTACTGGGAGTAAGAAGCTAGTCAACAACTTTTTTAGCAATTCATGTTTTTCTGTTAATGCTTTAATTGAAAACTAGAGCTGGATGGTAGAGGTTGCAGGGAAAATGGACTGACATTTACATTTAGGAGAGATGAGATGAGACCAGAGCATACCATGACAGATCTGTAAGAAGCAGGCCAGATGAAGAGGGAAAAGCAGAAAAGAAAAAAAAAAATCAAATACCCACCTACTATCATGAGTCTAAAGACACACAAGCATAAGGAATTGGGTAATTTTACAAGATGAGCTTAAGAAAGATATTGCCTATGGGACACATGGAAACCATGACGGACCATGATGGAACAGCTGTGCTTTCCCCTCTGTAGAGCTCTTCCAGGCTTGCTGTACGGTATTTAAAGATACAACTTCCTTCAACTGAGGCTTAAACAAACAAACAAACTCAGACTTGCAACATATGGAGTTAATAAGACTTGATCAGATGTGAAACTCTTGCATGGAAACAAGGAGATATTAAAAAATAGTTCAAATAATCTTCAGAAGGGTTTAAAGAGGAAGACACGTGGGGAGCTCTACAAAATCTTTACTGCAATCCCAGTAATTTTTGCTCAGAGATTCAGAGCAGAGCTTAAACAAACACCCGGTCCTTAAAACTTCCTACAAACAAACAGCGCGCCAGTTTTATGCACGCAGCATTATGATCTCTGCAAATTCTTCTTAAATGCAACTTGTGTGCTCTGCAGCATTAATTCACAGAGCTGGTGAAGGAGACACATTCACAGACTGACTCCAGCACACAGGGCTTTGTACTGCAAGGGATGAACTAGTAACTGATCAGATCTTACGCTCTCAACACAGGTGAGGTCCTGACAGATCTCACGGGTAGCTCTGCATGTACAAAACATGTTTAAGAAACAGCCAACATAATTACCTTGATAAGTCTTGCACTCTGGGGACAAATGCTGGGGTCTTAGCAAAACACAATGCTCTTACAGTAAACAGCAAAATTCCTATAGGTGTTAACAGCATTAGAGTTTAACCCACAGCACCTGAGTTTGTAGTTTGTAGCTTAAATATATTTGAATACAGAAAAAGAGACAATGAACTAAAATTGTTCTCAATTGTATCTTGAGAATATTTCTCTGACCTGGATTTTCAGTTCTGAGGTTTCTTTTGGTAGGGTAGAAACAGAGGGAGGAACATGCACGTTCAGAACTAGTCCACTGTGCTGCTCTGAGTGCGGACCCTGGAGGACGCCAAGAAGAATGAACAAGAGCAGCAACCAGAGGAGAAATACAGAGATTTAAAGACTATTTAAAGATGAAGCAAAAATTTCTTAATGGACAAATGAGAGGCTAACATACACAGGGACACCTTAAAGAGCAGCAAGGGCACACATCAGCGACCCAGCTGATGCACTCACTAAGGTTACATCCTAAACCTGGAACTCAGTCACCGCTGTGCATTCTCGACGTATGGGTCTCATCTGGATACAGCTTGGCTTTAGGTTTGTAGGTCTATCAACAATATAAGCACTTGCTCTTGTCAGTATAATGAGAAGAATACAGTATAAATAAGCTCAGGTAGGATGTCGGGGCAACAGAAATGCCATTTTAGGAACAATTATTTCAAATGATAGGACTATTTGAAGTGCATTAGCAGTGATTAAGGAGCTATTCTTTCCAAGAGTCTGTAAGAATTTATCAAGGAGAATGTAAAAAGGTAAAGATTTTAAAGTAAATTAGTAGGATCTACTGAAGTCTATAAATTTTTTTTTCTTTATATCATACAATCCTTTATTAAAATCTCTACCATAAGTAACCTAATATCAGTCATTACAAAGTGCCCACATAATAGTTCAGCAACCGTCTCTGTCAGTACCTAAGATAAATACAGTAGATAACTCGGAAGGTAAGCTGACCATTTTTCAAGCAAGAAGTAAAGCACCATTTTCTGTAGAAATTATGTATAGCTATGATTGCCATATCCCACTGAATAAAACAAGTGCTCTAAAATCAAAGAAACTATGTGAATGACAGTCATAAGCTTGTATTTTTCCTGTAAAAATCTACTGAACTCAATATACTGAACAGGCGTAGCAAAAAAATTATAAGATAGGATCGCATCACAAAAAAGTGAATCTATAGCTGCTAGCTGACAGCAGAGAAACACCTCCTATGTTTGTGTTGCCTTCAAATTTTTTTCTGCTCTTTGTTAAGAGGGTTTGAGCTTGGATGCCAGGTGCGCAAAAAACCTGCATTCAAAGTGGCATGTGAGCATTTGCTGGCACTCAGCTTTAAGAGTATATTTTGCATTCATAAACATGCCACCCTTCTTCTCCAGCTACACGAATACTGTAGATAAACTCTAACAAATGCTTCCATTTAAGATCAGCAAACTGGTTTTACACTGGCTGATAAGGCAGACATTAATAATACAGTGCTCCAAGAAAACTAAAGCGAGGTGTCTGTACGGTGAGTCTTGGATGTCACTGCGAGCAGAATGCCCATTAAGCCCAAACGGTACCTA